TTGAGTACTTATTCCGCTGCTAGTGTTTCATTGCTTAGGAAATTCCTCACTGAGAATTTCCTCAGTGAAGAATTTGTAAAAATCGCCTATTCACCCCCCTCCCCCTCTAGTCGATATAACACACTTTCCGGAGCATTGTGACGTGCCTCATGTTTGCCCAAGGACTCAGCAAAGTGATCATGTATGATCTTCTCCTTTTCTCCATGATCAAATACTTCTTTGTTGCCAATTGAGAGAGAGTGGATGAAGTTCTTCCTTCTTCTCGATTTCATCTTAGCATGGAACAGTTTGGTGTTTGCATCCCCCGCTTGCAGCCAGGTGATCCGGGATGCCTGCTTCTTTCTGGCCCTCTCAATGGCAGCCAAACCAAGAACTTTGAGTTTAAGCTGCTTTCTCAGGTTGAATTCTGCTGCCGATAACCTCCTGTTTTCTTGCGCCATGTCGAGGAGGAGGATAACTTCATTTGCAATGTGGAGCTGCATTTTTGCTTTCCCGAAAGTGGCCTTGCTCTAGATCTTCAGATTAGTCGCTACCCTCTCAAGTTTCCTTTTGATTCCAATGAAAGGGCAGTCGTGCGGCACTGGCCTTTGCCAAGCGTGAAGAACAGTCTATAAAATGAGGGAACTTTGGCCAGAAATTTTCAAATCTAAAACATGCCTTGCTGAAAGGCATGTCAACACTAGCAAGAACTAGCGGACAGTGATCTGATAAGGAGGTGGAGGCCGCCACCACCAAGTGCTCTGGGCGAAACTCTTCCCACTATGCGTTGTAGAAAATTTTATCGATGCTGCAGAGTGTAGGATCCTCCCTTTCATTGCTCCAAGTAAATCTACGGTTTTTGCATTTGATCTCCTTCAGCCCCGCCAGATCAATGGCCCTACGAAATTTCCCAATCATCCTTCTATTGATATTTGAGTTGTTTTTGTCTCTTGCCTAATGGATCATGTTTAAATCTCCATTTATCATCCAAGGTTCACTCGCAGGTGGTGCAGCTACCGCAAGCTCAGCGAGGAAGCTGTCTTTCTGCGTGTCATCCGTCGGTCCATACACGGTAGTCATCCAGAAGTGAAGCCCGGAGTGGAGTTCCTCTACCCTAGCGGTGATCGAGAAACTACCTAACCCATGAGAAACTACGCCAACTAAGGTATTGTCCCAGAAGATCGTTGCGCCTCCTCTAGTGCCGATCGCCGGCAGCACCACGCATCCCTGCAGCGTATGTCCTCCTACCTCTGTTTCTAAAGCCGCCGATCAGGATTCTATCTTAGTTTCTTGCAAGCAAAGCATGACTACACTATGCGCGGAGGCAGTGTCGCTAATCACAGTACACTTAGCTGGGCAGTTCAAGCCTTGCACATTCCAGGACATGAATTTCAGGTTGATGTCACTCATCAAGGAACCAGAGATTGCTCCGCCAACTGAAGTTGATAATTAAAAGGGGACGTGTACACCACACAACACGCTAGGGGGCAACGATGGCCACCAACGTACCCAAAACCCCATCATCGAAGAACAAGCCACGGCACCGAAGAACTACACATTAACACTAATCCTAACTCGAACTGATGGAAGACCAGCCGCTGGCGGAGCATAACTACATAAACTACCACTAACATGATTAACCCTGCATAATTTCCTCGGCCTCAGCAAGCCCCGCCATGCCCGCAGCAATCTTGAGGGCGTCATGGTAGAGGCTTGTGAGCTTTGCTATCATGGCAATGTCACCATCCGAGATGGGCTGCTGGAAATGCTTCATGAGTTGTGCTGCCACCTTTGGAGTCATCTCGTCTTTTGGACCAAGCTCCCCCAGCTCCTGGATGAGGTGCAGAACAGCCCGCTGCCGCCTGACGTGCACTACGGCGGGAGGGTGCTGAGGTGGCTATAGACTTGCGCGGGGCAGAGTGACGAGGATGAGGCAGCAATGCCCAGATGTCTCTGTTAAGCGCTAGGTTTCTCAATTTCATGCCTTGATTATGCCTTTGGGAAATTATGTGCACATCTCCATAAACATGTGGGCTTTGGAGAACCAGAGTATCTCTATCAAAGGGTGTTCTCAATCTGACATATGCTTGACCAAAGGGGCAAAGACAGATCTCTTGGAAAGCGAGGTGTTTAACTTGAGTGATAAAAATTGGGGAATAGTACATGTTGATTTGGCATGGGCACTATGGTGGCGATTGCCCAATCTTCATGACGCGAAATGGTTGGCTCCATGATGACCTGCACCCTGGCTGGCCTCCCTTCCACATGGATAGCTTGATGATGCGGTGGCAGGAATGGCGTGGGGTCAAAGGGGAAGTTTTCCATGGCATGCGCGACGAGCTCACCTCTCACTTCTATGGATTGGAGTAATCTGCTGGCTGTCAAAGGAGGTGGAGGGGGAAGTGTGGTCGAGCTAGAGGCCTAAACTTCTGTTCTATCTGGATTGTTAGGTAGGGAGTAACTCTAGGATCTTGATTGTTGAAAACAACGATAGCATTCCTCGAAGAACGCACCACAATCGCACCATTAACAGGGTTTGTAGCAGGAGGAGCAGATACTGAGGCGAACAGGCATTTGACGTAGCAAGGGAGCGGAAGGTTGATCGACGGTCACTGGCAACGTGGCCCCACTCTTTACAATTACGGCATCGAATTTTGTTTTTGCAGGCCGGTCTCTCATGGCCCACTAGGAGACACCGAACGCAGAAAGCTTTTCACTGGGCTTTACTGGGCCTTGAGGTGTTAGTATTACCTGTTTCAGCACCCGCTCTGTTTTGAATTGGCAAAATTCCCGCGTCATTATTGCCATCAGTTGGGAATTGAAGCCTGTCAAAGACAGTTGTAACTTCTATCGTTGATGTAGCTTTGTTATTTCTTTGATTCTGATGACTATTTCTAGCATGATAATACCTTGGGGCTCGAACAGCATCTGGATATGAATTTTGATTCCTTGAACGAGAGATTACCATCCAACCATCATCTTGCTCAGGATCTGGCAGTGATTGATGCTTTGGCCCATTTGGACCCCAGAGGAGAAAGCTAGGTTGAATTCAGGAAGCGAGATGTTCCCCCCATTGTAGATAGCAAAACCAACGTTGATGGAGGATACCGAGAACTTGAACAATGAATCACGAATTTTCTGAACTTTGAAGAGTGAGGCTTGTCCTCCAAAGCAAGAGAGAAGAATTGTACCTACTGATTCCTCTGTGAGGTGGATCTTGGATCTTGTAAACTCAACCACCAGAAAGAATTCCCTCTGCCCATTTTCTATCGTGAAGTTGATTGGAGGATGCAGAGAACGCCAGATGCGGTCTTCGAAAGCGTGGCCTCTCTCAAAACGAAGATCTGACAGCAACATGACTTGCCAAGGAGACTAGAAGTGGCTGAGGGTAGAAGCTAGGTGGCCGCCGCAGCTTTGTTTAACAAGCATCACCCTTCCTTTGTTTTCAATTGCTTCCTCCGTCAATAAGCAGCTTATTCGATTCCTATTCTTATTAAACATCTGATACAGATGGTGGGAACAATGAAGCAGATTCTTCATATGTAGGTTGCAATCCGTATGATTTCTTTTCTCGATCTCCTGCTTGTGTTTCCCCTCGCACCTAAGCATCACGTTCCTAGGGACAGAGGCATGTTAGATATCTTTAGCCGGGGAGTGTGGTCGGCGGTGGCCACCGTGGCCGGATTGGCCAGCGGCGGGGCTAGGCTAGTGTTTGTGATGGGCATTGTGCCTATATATTGAGATTTATCAATCGAATGAAGTTTCTAAACAAATGTTTTTACGACATATTGTACATGTTTTGCTAGTTAAATTAACAATCTAAATTTCACTTACATTCTCGTCCGGAGGGAGGACTTGATTAGCCCTATTCTACTTGCCAAATGTTGACCTGCCCCAAGTCACCTAGCTCAGCGTCCAGGTCACCCAAATGTGCCTAAGCAACCTATATAGCCGGTCGATTTGGCGTGTGCTTTTTGTTGACGGTTCAAACTAGCACTCGATTGGCAAACAGCGGCGGAGCCAGCTTGTAGGTGTTGGGTTCAGATGATCTGCCATATGATCAGATCTACACTAAATCCGATCAGGCAGATCATCTAAACTAATTTCTCTATGCATCAGATCCAGATAATCCCAAGGCTTTCTATGCATAGAGAAATTAGTTTAGATGATCTGCCATATGATCTGCCTGATCGGATTTAGTGATTACAATGAGAGATAAGCTGGGAGTGATGCACTTGCAACTAAAGGTTGGAGCAATTGGAACAAAAAAGGGACAAAATACCCATGTGGGTAAAGGTAATGTTAATAGCTTTCATAATATAACGGTAAAAAAAGTGATGCTTTGATTAATCAAGATCAATCAATTTAGGTTGCCCATGATAAGTAAATTGATCTTCCAAAATACCCAGAATCGAATCAGGCTTAAAATCACTTTTGTTTATATGCCTCTTTGACTTGATGGTATTTATTTTGAACTTGTCAAAGTAACTTGTCATTTTCTCCAATATATTTTAGGAAGATGAGAAGCTGCACTTGAAGCTATGAAGTTATTTTGGTGCTGCTCTATTTATAATATGTCAACAAGGGATTTTATAATTTCACACAATCAGTATGTCTTGCACTCTCCACTTCTATATGTAACCACCATATGTGATAATCGATATCATATTTCTACTCGCCACATGTCTTTTAAGTGACGTGCCCCTATTGTAAGTTAGTATGAAATTGAACGCTACACTTAATTAACCCATATTAAATCCTTACAATGAGGTACTGAGTGAACCCATCGGCCAAATTTTCTGGCTCCGCCCCTGTTGGCAAAGCTCTATCTTCAGTGCAACTCATAATAACAGTCTGAGATTCACAAACTGCAGCGTTCACAGGACACAATCCATTTCGACATTCACAAACTGGAGTGAGCCCAACCAAGATTATTCACAGGTCCACGAACCACGACTACTTAACATCACATAGTAATTTATTTACAGGTTTGAGACCTCAGCTCCTACAGGATGTTCAGTTCAGTTCAGAGAGGGCAGCGCTGGAGTTTTACAGACTGGGCACCAGTTCTTCTGCAGGAGCCACTGGCGAATGCAGCACACATGGTACTGGTGCTCACACGGCAACCTGCCAACCTCTTCGCTCTTCACGAACTCCTCCTGGAACAAGAACAGCAAACCCATTTCCATTTCAGCAAGCGTTTACAGGTCAACTAATAATCCTACCCTTTTCTTTAGATAAAAATCAGTTAGGTAGTCCCCGTTAGCCTATCGGACTATTTTGCACAGCAGACAGGGAGATAATTGGCGTTGTTGCCGGAGGAAGATTCAGACTCAGACGACAACTTCGTTCAGTGGAAACATTTGTAAGGAATGAGAAGGATGCTGCCAACTTAAGTATGAACAGTATTTAATGCATTGACAAGAACCAAACACCTAATAAAGTAGCTGGTCATTTTCATGATGAGACACTTGGATATACATGGCAAAAAGAAAGCAGGTACTAGGATAGTGGGATCACGACGTTTTCTTTAACAGGAGGATCATGGCGGTTTTGAAAGCATTCTTTCTGTTATATGCAAGAAGATTAATCAGGACATTAAACGCAAGAAAGTCAACATATCCACCTTGATAGCAAAATTTTTTTCTAAGAATGATAGATGCAAAACAATATTCAGTAACTGTAAGGTTTTTATTTTACTGTATTCCATGTAGAAGCAATAGGATCCAGTTGGTACATGTTTACCTGGCATATGCTGCATTTGATGTCATCTATGACTGATCTGTTTCCTTTTGCAGCAACTGGTCTATATAAACGCCTTCTGATACATTTTGCAAACTGTTCTTCAGAAAGAGCAGTACTTACGTATCCTATTCTCTCTTCTAATGCTAATAGTTCCTGTTCAGAAGAAGGAAACACAAATGCCCCTTGAATAGAATACATACCAGAACTTGTCTCATGAATTGTCAAATTTACGCAAATCATAAAGGGAGGGAAGAAGAGTTCCCCAAAGAAACACACTTCTGTAATGAATGAATCCCTTTAGTCAGAATTAGACGTGACAAAAATAATACCTCATAGGACATGTTGTCAATATCCATCCGCATGTCGCTATGCTGATCATGCGAGGCGAAGGCACCAAGTAACAGATTTGTCTCCAGTACCCGCAATTGCTGCTAACATGTTATCCATGTTCAGCGAAAAGGTAGACGGCAAGAAATTTACAAACATGACGTCAAACTAACTAACCTCATAAGTAAGCTCAGCTTCTTGTTCAATCCTCTCCAGCACTAGCAATACCTACATACACATACATGAGAAAAAAACACTTATACCACATCCATAGTCATAGTGCATAGTCTTTAGCAAAATCATTATCAAAATGATGGATTTAATCCTACATAAAACCTATCTACAAGAACAATACAACTGGAACAATATAAAAAAGTGTTTTGGAAAAGGACCTCTGCAATGCCTTCCATGTTTATGCGTCTGTGTCCACCTCTCTCCCTCGCCAGACTGCGAAATGTTTGTGGGGGGCTTTGCTCAAAACGAGAGCTTGATGTTCTCCTGGCAGTCCGAGTACTCGATCCCTGACGACTAGATGAGTAAATTGCATGAGGTAGTTCCACAGAAACTGGTCTTATGGAGCTTTCTGAAGAATCCTCTTCCACAGAAAAATCAGCACCAACTGACTGTTGATTCCCTGCGGTAGACTCATTCAGATGAAACATGGCATCCTCTCTTTCCTCAGACAACCTGAACCTAGTGTCTCTAGGAGAAGTCCGTCTTGTCCTTACTGATACTGCTGAATCCTGAATATTTCTACTGCGGCTTCGTAATGTTTGTTGCCGAACTGATTCTTCGGTAGTTCTGATTCTAGGACCACTAATGCTAGGATATATTGTATGTGAATGACCTAAACTGGATGGATCACTTATGACTCTTGATCTGGAAGAGCTTTCCCCATCAGAAGTTCTCTTTCTCATAGCATCAAAGCTACTGGTACGAACAGAATCAGACGAGCATCCAGATGGCAGAACATCAGAGACTGAAGTGCAACTAAGGTTTTTAAGACCACGTGGTCCACGTCTCTGTTCTCCACTAACAAGACTATTTGATGGCTTCACACCAGCGATAGGAATTCTAGGTATACTAGGCTGATTACTAAATGACGAAGAGCAAGAACTTAGTGAAGCACTCCTTACCAAGGACTCAGCTGTACGTGCATGCATACCTGAAAAACCAGCAGAATGTGAAACCTCAGGATCAGGTGCTATCAGTTCATCATCTTTGGCAGTTAATCTTTCTGTCTCAGTCTGTGGAGCATGTGAACTCTGATTCTCTACAACGAGTTTCTTACTACCCTCCAGATACCTGGCATCGGACTTTCTTCTACTACTTTCAGCAACGTCAGCCCCATCGAACAAAGTCTGCCTTCGCTTTTCCTCACCAAATTTCCTAAGGGGAAAGTTCTTAGGAAATTTGGAAGAGCTTCCAGACATGACATTTGAGCTTGCATATTTATATGAGCCATGTAAGTATCTTGGTCTCTCCTGATTATCAGCCAGCCTGGTTTTCATAGGATTGACTCTTGAAGTGCTTCCCTGTACATCAGTGTTCTGACTGGTTGTCTCTTCAGGGCTTCGATTTATGCCAGAACCTCTTCTGAGAAACCCCATTGCTGTTTTGGATCTCCTACTTAAATACTCCTCCATGTAACGAGATGTCACTAAATACCGAGATGAAAAAAGTCGATGTCGAGTAGTTCTGCGACCACGAATTGCAAAGATCAATAAGAAATATAACCTGGACAATGAAAGCCAAGAAATTACTAATAAGCAAGAAAATGCAACAAATGATACAGCCTATTGTGATTTTTTTTAATCAGACTACAGTCGTAGACTGTGCTGAGTGCAAGAAAAGGCGTAAGAGTGCGCTGTACCATTACATTCTCTCTCTACCGTGGAATCCCAATCAAATATACAGAAATGAGCAAGACAACCAATAAATCATACTAAAATATAAAAGAGTGCATATATTTATACTCCTGCAACTAAGAAACAACTAAGTTGCAAGTAGTATGTTCATCTTTGATTGTTGCGCTTAGCTAACTGCCCACAACGCTCCATCCAAGCACTTATTTTGGTCACTAAAATACTACAGTTGTTTCACGCTAAATTACAAAAGGAGGATAGAATATTCACAGCAATGTGCAGGGCTGCATGCTGAATCCTAGATGGCTTACTACAGAACTCCATGGTCACAAAAACCCAAGAGTAGTAGCAGCACTTGGTTCAGTTCGACAGACGCCCTAATAGTATTATTATGACATAAACAAGATCACGATGTCATCAACAACTCTCTCCAAAAAACACCAACTTATAATGCAAACTGTATTTCTCAAGATAAGCTTTACAAAAGGATTTGGGTCCACGCTCCACATATCATGACACGATCATTGGCGCCCTGACATCATTCGTCTATCCACATGCTCCTACCAAGATAATTCCTCTGAACCGTATGCAAAGAGCGCACAAACCGTCAGCGCCACTACCAGTGGCCACTAGCCAATAATTTTAGAGGACATAAGTCCGGAAATTTTACATATCTACTACTAGTTTTAACCATCTCATAGTTAAAAAAAAAATCCCATCCCAAACTGACTTCCGAAACGCCCATCCTTAAGGAATCTGTAAATGTAACTGCAACTTCATCAGTGAACTGGTTTTTTCATGTGTGGGCGCGGAAATATTTCTTAAGAAAAACCGTGCCCAAGAACAAGATTGCTCGGAACTTGCCTTGGCATTTCCGAACCTAAAATCCACAGTAACATCCATCTAATTGTTTTCCCCACAGTAACAAAAAACTGTTCACGCTGAAACCGATCGAGATTTATCTCGCAAGGTTTTTTTGGGCAGCCCGACATCCCAACACACGCAACAGCGTCAGGAAGAACGGGTTCCTGACACTCGGACAAAACCGAAAAACACGCACAAAACAAAAACCGAAACAGAGGGACTGAGACAGCAAACGAGACGTACAGCGGCGGCGCATTCCGGTCACAGAAGACCCGGAACCGAGCCGATCGAGAGGACGGGGAGGGAGCGCCCGCGGCTTCTTTCCCCCCGCGATGGCGGCACCGGCGGCCGCACCTCGTGCGCGGCGGCGGGGCCGGAATGGGAGGAGACGCCGAGGAGGAGGGGGAGCGGGGGAGCAAGTTGGGGGTGGGGGTGGGGGCGCCTCCCGGCTCGGATTCCTTTCCTCCTTGCAGGATCCGAGGCGATTTAAGTCGAGTCTAACGAACGACACTGGACAGGCGGAGCGGGCCGGGCGCGGCGTGTGGTCACCCGATCCGTTTGGAGGCTGCGTGGAAGTGGAATCCTACGGGTACCCACTTTGGAGGGTACCCCCACGTGTGCGGTGCGCGGGGCCCGCGCTTAGGGTGTGGGGCGCTAGGGTACACGGTTCGTGCGGAGTAGGCGTGCACGTGATGGAAACGGGGGCTTTGGGTAGGCACTGGGGACGCGAGAGAGGCGAACTGTAGTACGTGCACACGAGTGGTTGCACGCCTTTTTTTTCTTCTCTTTGAGCGTCGTCGATGGGAGGGTGCTTACGCTAATAGAGAAACTAATAGAGAAAGAGAGATGAACTATGGGTATACCCCGCATTACCCTAATGAGAGGAGAAGAGGATATTATGTTCGCAAACCTAGGCAGAACACTGCAGAGCATGGGGGGAAGGGAGACAGCTTCCAAGTCCCTCCTCACTCTAGAAAGAGGAGACCAAGACAGGTGTGGAAACCAAAGGAGGGAGGGGACAATCAGGAAGGGCATGACTCTTTCATCCGTGACACAAGGCAGAAGACATCATCAGTTTTCGAACGTTTAACCGAATGTGAAGGTACATCGGCGGACCCTGCTAGGGCGCAAGGCCGCCGGGAGCAATGAACATCTTAGCCTGGAACTGTCGGGGGTTGGGGTTGGACCCGACGGTAGGCGAATTACAGGACATGGTTAGGTCATACAACCCAACGGTGTTTTTTTATCAGAAACTAAAAAAACAGCAGGAGCGATGGAGAGATTGAAGTGGAGCCTAGGATTCAGGCATTGAGTTGCTGTGAACTGCAATGGCAAGAGTGGGGGCTGGCGTTATGGTGGAGAGAACATGTGGATGTGACGGTGAGGCCGTGGTGCCAATACTACATCGATGCCCAAGTTGTGTTGGATGGTGTCACCTTTAGATTCACTGGAATCTATGGGGAGCCATGTGTGGAGAATAGGAAGAGACCTGGGATGTACTTCGGTACTTACGAGCACCGGATAATCTCCCATGGCTATGTGCGGGGGACTACAACGAGGCTCTTCTCCAGAAAGAGCAGTTGGGTGGTAACCTGAGGTGTTTGAGCCAAATGGAGAGTTTCGCTGAATGCTTGTCCGACTGCGGGCTTGTGGATATAGGCTACTCGGGATATCCATTCACATGGAATAACAAAAGAGATGGCAACGAGAACGTGCAAGTGAGATTGGACCGGGCCACCTGCAACGCTGACTTTGCATAGCTTTTCCCGGCAGTCGAAGTTGTAAATGTCATGACCGAGGAATCGGATCACCAGGCGATTGTTGTCAAGGTGCAAGCGGCACTGGCTGCGAAGCACTCGGGAGGGCAGCGGTCTCTTGTCTCTGAGGCGGCATGGGCTCGGCATGAGGGATACGAAACGATGGTGGCATCTGCATGGGCCGCTTCCCTTGCAACCAATCATGAGGCTGGTTCTCTTGCCGGCGCATGCAGCCGCATTAAGGCCACGTCTGGGGACATGCAGAGATGGAGCCGCCAGGTCTTTGGGTCTATCAAAAAGCAGATTGCGCACTTGAAAGTGCAAATAGTGGAGGCCAAAGAGCGGGCTGCACGATCAGGATACAGACAGGAGGTGAAGGATATAGTGGACCAGTTACACGAGCTCTATGAACGTGAGGAGATCTAGTACAAACAAAGATCGCGGGTTGACTGGCTGACGGAGGGGGATCAAAACACGAAGTATTTTCAGAATCGGTCCTCACACCGGAAGAGAAAGAATACGGTCAAAGCTTTGATCGGAGAAGACGGGTCCAGGTGCATGGATGATGATGGGATGAGGACGATGGCGGCACAGTTCTACGAACAGCTATTCACTTTGGAAGGCTCGCGGGATTCGGAGAAAGTGTTTCAGCATATAGATGGTGCAGTTACAGAAGCAATGAATGCCAAGCTGTGTGAGCCATTCACTGACGAGGAAATAGAGGCTGCCCTCTTCCAGATGGGACCCATGAAGGCACCGGGACCGGACGGGCTTCCGGCCATGTTCTACCAAAAGCACTGGGCTTTGTTAAAAGAGGACGTGTGTGGGGCGATCCGCGAGTTTCTTGCTAGCCAGGCAGCTCCGATGGGTTTCAACGATACGGTCATAGTGATGATTCCGAAAGTAAGCTCACCGGAGCTACTTTCACAATTTCGCCCAATTAGTTTATGCAATGTTTTATATAAGATCGCCGCGAAAGCACTGGCCAACCGGCTAAAGGTGGTTTTACCTTTCATGATCTCAGAGGAACAAAGCGCATTCGTACCTGGCAGATTAATTACGGACAATGTCTTGGTGGCCTATGAATGTGTGCATGCTATCAGAAGGAGAAAGCAGAAGAAACCTCTGTGCGCCGTGAAGCTAGACATGATGAAAGCCTACAATAGAGTGGAGTGGGATTTCCTTGAGCAAATGATGATGAAAATTGGCTTCTCTAGTCACTGGACGAAGATGGTCATGAGATGTGTCAGAACAACTTCTTTTTCAGTTAAGTTAAATGGTGGCCTCTCATACGGGTTTCTCCCATCTCGTGGGCTTAGACAAGGGGATCTTCTCTCCCCGTATCTTTTCCTATTCTGTGTAGAGGGATTCTCAGCAATGCTAAAGAATGCACAGAGGCAAAATGATATAAAGGGGGTTTCCTTTGGGAGTGGGGGACTGACTATCACTCACCTCTTGTTTGCAGATGACAGTGTGGTATTCTTGGAGGGATCCGCAGAGAACTTTGATGCACTCCGAGTTATTTTGTAGGACTATGAAGCGGCCTCAGGTCAGAAAGTAAACCTCCAAAAATCTGCCATCTTTTTTGGCAAGGGTATATCCAAAGCAAACAAGGATGAGTTGCATCGGGTCAGCGGTATATCAGCGGAAGCATTGTCCGAGAGGTATCTAGGGCTTCCAACTATTGTCGGCAAATCGAAGGATGGTACCTTCAGGTATGTCAGGGAGTGTGCAAGAGGAAAAGTAACAGGATGGAAGGGGCAAGGGTTGTCCAAAACAGCCAGAGAGGTTCTTGTGAAGTCAGGCCTTCAGTCAACACCAGCTTTTACCATGAGTTGCTTCCAACTAACAAAGAAAATGTGCAGGAATCTTTCAACTATCTCATCAAACTTCTGGTGGGGGGAAGCTAATGGAAAGAAGAAGGTGCACTGGATTGGGATAAAATGTGTACAAGAAAACATGAGGGAGGACTCGGTTTTCGGGACCCTGAAGTCTTCAACCAAGCGATGCTCGCAAGGCAGGCCTGGAGAATGCTGAAGCAACCGGAGACACTATGTGCACGTGTTCTAAAAGCACGATATTTTGTGGAGGGGTCGATTCTTAATGCAACTTGCCCGAGTGGTGGATCATTCACCTTCAGAAGCATACTACATGGGAGGG